AACATGCAAAACAAAATTTCTTTAATTTTAAAACAACCAGAATAAAATTCTCTTTACATTTGTAAACATAGCAATCAAAACAGACAAACTCACCTTAATTTTAAACTCAAAAATAAAAAAGAGATTCGGTGTAAACAAAAAATTCTTCAGATTCTGTAAGAATCAAAACGGGATAATTTCAGGTAATCAAAATAAAACCTTTTTAGGTAGAGTAATTACAATGTTAGAAATAAAAAAGCTCAGTATTCCTAAATATGATACCAACCGGATGATGATGTCAAAAGTTGATGCTGTGTGATAACATTTTAAAAGCAAAACACGTATACGAAAAAAATTCTGCACAAAAAATCCAATTCAGTTCATAGATGACGTGTACAAAAGGTGATTAGAAATCTTCAGATAGCTTCTCTGGTTCTGTGTATCAATTTTCTCTGATTTGAGAAGTGAACGTCAACAATTGGCATTAATTATTTTGGCTGATTAATCTGCAGGTGAAGAGAAACTCAAAAAAGTTCTTTGGAAACAACGGCATCCGTACTTTCAGAGTAGCCCAATCCCCCATGTGATTGATTTTTGTGTTGTTGATTTGTAAATTGGATTCTGGTTTTGCCGCCTGCTACAGTTCTGAGGATTCATTTGGCAGGAGGATCTACTGGATCACTACCGCAGATTAAGCCATGTTGACAGTTGCTCCTCGGCTGCTGCGGACCAGCTGTTCGGTCGGTCGATTGAGCAGTGTGCTCGGTGGAGACTTGTTTCTCAAGCAAGCATCTTCTAGTCTGTTGGCTTCTAGTTTCCCAACCAGATTATCAGTCGTTCACCCTCAACAATCCGCTTCAGTGTCGACATATATGCACGATGATAAACTAGAAAATGATAACATTTTCCCAAAACCTCGCCGATGGCCACTGTACAACGATGTGGTACATAAACCTGAAGATGGACCGGTAGAGCGGGTATGTTTACTTTACAATGTTGAATTTATTGTGTGATTTTACCGAAAAATGCTTCTTTTCACAGTATTACTGTCACTATCGTGATAACATCAAGTACTCTCCCAAGAAGATGTACTACGTTGCCAGTTTTGTAAGTGAGAAAANTTTTCACAGTATTACTGTCACTATCGGGATAACATCAAGTACTCTCCCAAGAAGATGTACTACGTTGCCAGTTTTGTAAGTGAGAAAAATTTATTGTTTTTGGTTTTTACAATAATGATCATGCTGATTACATGTCACTAGATCCGAGGAATGTCAATTGATGAAGCCATCAAACAGCTGACCTACATCAATATGAAGGGCGCTAGTGTTGTGAAAGAAGTGCTTAAAGAAGCGCAAGAAATCGCTGTAGCAGAACACAATTTTGAATATAAATCCAAAATGTGGATTGCCGAGAGTTTCTGCTCAAAAGGCCTGATCCTGAAAGGGTACCGAAAGCACGCCAGAATGCGTTTTGGCATTGTTCACTACTACCACACCCACTACATGGTGAAGCTTGTGGAAGGCGAGCCACCGGTAGGATATGGCCCAGCACAGGGACCAGTGGTGGAGAATATGACGGCTGAAGATCGACTGAGTCAACACATTGAAAAGTTGAGAAAGCGTCGTATTGACTTTGCCCTTTAGGCACACTTTATACATTGTAATTAGTTGTAATTATTAAAATGGAAATATCTGTTCATTGTTTATCATAGAAAGGATTTGTTTAGTTGATGCAGTTCCACTAGTTGATCCATTATGTGTATCAAATGACTGGAGAGGTGTGATATTTCGGCTGAATCCTCCCTTGAGTGGTCGTCTACTGATTGCTGAAATTGTAGCTTTCTGCATTGGTAAACGCCAATTAGTCTAGTAAACAAATTGCACTCTTGTCATCCATTCATCCTGTCTTACCGGTACCACCGATCATACTCAAACTGCAGTTCATTGATCATAGTTTGAATGCGACTAATCATCTGGGCGCGATCTTCAGGAGCACAGTCGATAGTGAGCAGATTAGGTGTGCTTTTCATGCAAAGTGTTCCGTGCTGCTTCAGACTGGCCAACTGAATTTGCCTCCGTGCCATCATTGAGAAGCTAGGATTGGAGCTCTATGGCAGAATAATAAATATCGTTAGTGAAAGGAAAAGTAAGGGGCCCACGGCGAAGTACCGTTCCGAGTATCCAGTGAACATCGGGCTTGGTGATGTGATAGTGACCATGGCAAATCTCAGGCCCTTTTTGTTGTTTTCTAGGCAAACTGGAGCGACGTTCATTTGACTGTGGGCGAATGTGCTTAGAACTGGCAGCTAGTTCGTGAGCGTCTTGCTGTTCACTTGTCTGACTAAAAAGGTTGGGTTGGGAAATGGCTCGAGATTCTCTGCTTAGTTTGGGCCTTTCTTTTCTTGTCTCTCCGCCTTTAGAGCTCCGTGATTCAGTTGGTTTTAGAGCTAGACAAACATTCGAATGTTTTGTGTGTCGTTTTCGATGAACCATTTCACACTGTTGCAACAAAATGTAGAGAATCCTGTGCAGATCATCCTCAATATTCACCAGAGCTTGATTCAGGCGGTCAGTTTTGCTTTCCGCTGGAGGTTGGTCAGATTTGTATTGCACTTCTGTGACAATTGATTGGTTAATTGGATTTTCACTTTTGGGCCGGTTTCGCCCTTCAAGAGCGGCTAATCTGCATTTGAGTTTGGCCAC